CAGGAATCAAAAACTATTGACTTTAAAAATTTTATAAGACGCTTGCATTTTTAAGGGGTTTTTAATAGAGGAGTAACGGTTTGTATGAACAACACGTGTGCGGRAAGAGGTTCATCGTTAAAAACCCGAGTGGTCACACATCCGGGAGCTACCGACCCCAGACGATGCTTGACCGTAGCGATGCTTATAAGATATATTATCATTATCATACTATTCAATTTAAGTTTGTTAAGTTTTTACATGTTATGGAAACCAAAAAGTTTAAAACTATAAATATACATACTATGTTTTTGTATATATGTATGATCTCGCATGATAATAATTTGTGGACGTAAGTGAATAATACTGAACATCCTTCAAGCAAATATGTAACCCTATATTAAAATACTGATGATTTTTTTTTCATTTTAGCTATACAGATAAAACAATTTGTGAAATAAATATTATTATACCTACTACTAATAATAAATTATTCTTAAAACATTATCMAGAAAATTTGTTTGAGCTAAGCTGAGATTAATCACAATAAATTTTCTTCGATAATATATAAATAATCAAAATTTTGTCATTTTGTTTGGTTAGGCTGAGTCTTAGATATTTCAAGCATTTTTTTAAAGATACGCTCGGTAACGTTGTCCATTGTGAGTAATTTACATAATTAATTAGTATTACCATAACATAATAAACCGATAATAAATATACAAATTACATTATATAAACGAATAATGGTAAGTCAAGATATACGATATTTATTATTAYAGTGTATTGTGTAAATTAAAATCGACAGCAACAATTTGTATTTATGTGGTAGAATTAGAGTTTAAGTCTTTATAATATAAGAACTGTATATGTATCTATTTATGAATTCAGCCAATAATTCTGAAAGCTTTGAAACTTTTGTTTTACATATTAACTAGAATATTGTTATTTTCTTTTTTTTATTTTTTTTTGGCATAATATTTTTGAATGTCTAATAGAATAATATAAAAGTTTTCATGCTAAATATACTTGGAATCAGATACATTATAATATGTTTTTTTTCCAAGAGAACACCATTATCATTAAATTTACTTTTTAGTTTACGTCAAAAGTTCCAATTTGGTATCCACTTTTGCAAGTTGTCCTCACA